ATTTGTGCATAGTTTTGTTTTTTTCTACAATATGCATTTTTTCCTTGAACTTATTAAAGATTCCTTTTTTATTTATGGATTCCACAACTTTTTGCACCCAAGCAAACATCTCTTACCTTTCCATGGCCTTTTTGAAGTTCCTGATATGAACCTGGGAGTCACCATAGCTTTCCAGTCTGTAAATAGGAACAGCGATGTTCCTGAGAGTTTATGACACATCTGAGGAGAAGTCTCCTACACATACATATTTTGGTCAGTCAGTTGTGAGTTGCATGTCAAACTTTACACTGCACACTTTTTAACACCGATGGCAGTGGAGTGTATCCTGGCTAAAATGTAAATGTAAACATGAGGTTGCCCCCCCCCCCATGGTTTCCCCATACTCCAAGTTCGATATTAGACAAGATAACTAAACCTCTAAGCTTTGGTTTCTTCCTGTCTAAAGTGGGGGATAATAATACTTCACAGACTTGTTACGGATTAAATAGAATGAAACTTTTCCAAGGGTATCTTAGAAAGATCATACAAAAAGAAATATAAAGTTCTTTTTTGGTGCAAATAAGCAAACAAACAAAAGCACTGAAACCTGTGCCCTGTGCACAGCTTTCTCATAATATGCATTTTCTGCAGGCTTTTGGGAGATTCCTATAGATTGCTTAGCACCATGTTCAGTGCACAACTAGCATTTAATAAATGCTAATTTATAAAGAGGAATCACTTCAAAAAGAAATATCCATTATATATAGATTAATGAATTTTGTTCTGGAAGCCCCAAATCCTTGGTTTGATTGAGCAGGTCTAAGTGCTGAAAAGAGAATAATTTTCAGTGATTTTTGGTTTTGGGATAGGGTTCTAAAGCCATGGGTCTCACTTTCAGCTGCGTGTTAGGACTAGCTGAGGGTCAAGAAACCCTGCTCCCCACTTGTTAAAGTACTGAAGTCAGAGCATCTGAGAGCGAGCGAGAAAGCCATAAGAATGTTTTGAAGTTTCCTAGATGAATTCAATGATTAGCCAAATAAAGTCCTTGTTTTCTCCAACATTCTGAACCTACTTGGTGTTCGCACTGAAGATAAGAAGGTAGTTCAAACAAACAGTTCCCAGGTACCCAGGCAGGCAGTTCCAAGATGAAGTTTTCCATGGGAATTTTATATACAAAACAGTGATTTAAAAACAAAACAAAACAAATCAGCACTTATTCTCATTGGGGTCACTTGTAAGTGTCCCAGGGAACTCTGATTTTAGCAAAATGTGGAGAAGGGAGTCCACCCCACAGAAGTGAAGCTAGCTTGACTTACTTAAGATTAGTCCTTAGAACTTTTCTCACAGCAAATAGATAAATGATGTGGATAAAAAAAAAAAATACCTACCAGCCTCAGAAATGGAATTCCACAATATCACTGACCAATTATGAATCAGTTACCTCACATATCCCTGTGTTAATCTGAGCACTTACAGTGATGAAGGTGCTGCTTGGGACACCCACATGCCATGTCGGAGTGCCTGGACTTGAGACCAGGCTGCACTTCCGATCCTGCTTCCTGACAATGCACATCCTCACAGCTGGTGATGATGGCTCAAGTACTCAGGTCCCTGCTGCCTACATGGGAGACTCAGCTTGGGTTCTGGCTCTAAGGTTCGGCCTGGCTCAGTTCTGCAGGCATTTGGAGAGTGAGCCAGTGGAGTGAAAAGATCTTTCTCCCCATTCCAAATGTAGTGAAAGTAAATAAATAAAACATTAACACACACACACACACACACACACACACACACACACACAGGTAAAAAGGAGAAGGAATTGTTAAGTAATTGTTTTATAAGCACACAGTTCCAATTTGGTGTAAAAAAAAAAAGTTCTAAAAACAGAGGGTGGTGATGGTTGCTGGTGTTAGTTCTTTAATGTTATTGTCAGTCAAAAGCATTCCAGTGGAATTCTGGAATACAAGGACATGGCAGCATGGCATCATACAGGGTCATGTGGATATGTTCCAGTGTCCGTCCAGACGCAAAGATGGTAGGAAGAAGGAAGCATGAGTCACTGGCTTTCACAGTAATTATTGTATGGCAGGATACACCATCCAAGACTGGTTAATTCCAGCAATTGTGGCAGGCTCTAGGCTTGAAGGTTGGTCATTAGATGCCTGGTACCTTGCTCTGGACTCACAACCTCCTGACTGTATTGGCCAAAAGTCTGGTTCCACAGAAGTTAATGTTGTGTGCCTATAAAGACCTGCTCCCCATTAAGGCCTTTTAAGAGTTAGCTAGTCCCCAGGAAGGGCAGTCTTCCCTACCCAGAAATATTTATGCACTTGAAATGGCTGAAATCAATGCCTTTTACAACAACTAAAAAATATCAGGAAAGACAAACCCAAGATCCATAAGATTACAGTAAAATCTAGGCAAAAGACAAGAACCAAAGGAGGAAAACAATTAGGGAGAAGACAAAACTTACAGCAGGAATATCAAGGCTCACCAAAATATGCCTCTTTTCAAATTATTCTTGCATTTATTTGAGGAAGAGAGAGAGAATGAATGAATGAATGAATGAATTACCTTCCCCCATAAGTTCATCCTCCAAATTTTGGCAGCCTGGAACTCACTTCCGTCTCCCACATGCGTGGCATGAATCCAATTGCTTGAGTCAGCTTCATTATCTCCCTGGGCCTCCCTGGGCAGGAGGCTGCAGCCCAGAACTGGAGCTGATCCAAACACCTTGGGCTTCTTGACCACTGGGCTAGATGCCTGCCCCTGAAGTTTGTCTTATCTAAGTATAAAGAAAGAGTTCCCTCTTACAAAATGTGAGTGTCAGCTACCTCCTGAAATGCAAATTTTAAGCAGTTCTAAAATTGCCCAACATGATAACAGATGATAAGGCACGGAAATAGTATAGAGCAACTTTGCCCTCCAGCCCACTTTTCACTGCTTATGTTGTTCATGTTCTAGAGAGATCAGTAAGATAATGTGGGTTACTCTTCACTGGAAACCTGACTCATCTTCATGTGTGAAGCTGTGACATCACAGTGGCAAGCGATCCATGCTGTCTGCACTGCCCCTCTTGGTTGGCCAATTCAGTGTTAGGCTCTTTGGCTAAGCTAGATCACAGACTCAACTGCAGGCTTTGTCTACAATACCATGTTCAGTTATATAGTCACATGCATCTGCATGGAGATATATATGTATCTCCATGTATATATGAGAGTGATACCAAAAGCTCATGGAAATTATGTATTATTAAAAAAATAAACTTCGCATGCATTTGACTGGTTTTTCACAAAAATAAACAAATCTTTTAATTCCATTAAAAAAGATGTATTCATTTATTTGAGAGTCAGAGTGGAGGAACAAAGAGAGGTCTTCCATGCACTGGTTTACTTCCCAAACTGTTGCATTGACCAGGGCTGGGCCAGGCCGAAGCCAGGAGCTGAGAGCTTCCTCCAGTTCTCCCACAGGGGTAGGAGGAGCCCAAGCACTTGGGCCATCTTCAGCTGCTTTTCTCAGGCCATGAATGGGGAGCTGAATCTGAAGTAAAGCAGCTGGGAGAGGAACTGGCACCTCGTGTGGGATGCTGACATTGCAGATGGCAGCTTTGTCCTCTACACCACAAATGGGCCAGCCCCTTAGCTTCAATTTTCCATGACCCTTTCAAAGGACTCTCATAGATGCATGTGCACGTGTGTATATACACATTTAGTGACTAATGCATTTTAATATATCAGAATCATGTGCACCATTTTCCTGAACTTCAAACCTCTACAACTATTTCTTTATTACAGCTGACAAAAAATTATTGCTTCACTTCATATATCCCTACCTGACTTCCCTTTTCTCTCTGGAATCTGGGAAGCCCACCATCAATTCTTTTTCCCTACTCATCTGCCAACTCTTTTCTCCATTCTCTATGCCAAGATTCTCTGGCATAAACACCTACTGCTGCCAAACCTTCCTGCGATTGTCTGAACATAAACAACCCAAAGATGGCTACACTTCTCTTTCTCCCTACAGTTGCTGTATATGTCTACTCACCATGTGCCCATGGCATGAGCACCAGGAGCGAGGGACTGAACAGGTCCCTAAGCCACAGACCACCACTGAGAAGAAAGTCCTTAGGCATAAAAAAGAGCTGGTAGAAAAGGATGGGGCATGACCAGCCTGGGTCCCTGGCGAGTTGCCTAACTTTTCTGCACCTTGCTGTCCTGTTGGTGAAGTGGAGTAACAGACGCCATGGTGGGCACTTTTTCAGTGAGCAGTGTTTTGAGCTGCTGACCTTCACCCAGAAGACCTGTGAGGCAGGCCTTGCCACTGCTGGAGCTTATTTGAAAGATCCAGAAACTGTGACCTGTAGGGTAGTTTTCTCGCCTGTGGTCCCAAAGCTGTGCATGGAGCTAAGGTTTAAAGCAGGCTGTCCACTAGCTGTTCCCCACATTCCTACGGGTGGTGCTTTCTGGGGGTGCAGAACCCTCTCACTGGACTGGACTAATTCAATCATATCGAGGAGTTCCATGTGTTATGATGAGTTTTCCTGAAGTCCATTTGCCCATCTATCAAAAGGAGATGTTACTTAAGCTCTAGAGATTTTGTAAAAACTAAGGCTATAGAGGATTTTATGTTCAATCTGTGGTACCAATATTAGATTATTATTAGATTAGATTATTGCTAAACAGAAGCCACCGATCTTATCATCACCATTATTAAGATTCTGTTCTAGCTGCCAAGAAAAGCATATTTATCTATTCATTTCCCTCTGTCTGCAGTGACAAGATGGGCACATTGAGTATGCTAATTATCATCCACAGAAAACATGCTTTAGTTGAGTTCAAAGGAAAAGAAACATTGTGTGAGGAACTGTACATGGAAGAAAGGTGAGCTTTTGCTGTCTGAGTGTCACCATCATTACCACACACAAAGCACAGGTTGTGCTTCAATCTCAAGAGGTTGCATAGAATCTGAACCTGCCCACTGCTATCGAGCAAGAATAACACCATGTCCCCCTTTGCTTCTTACAGATTTTTGCTTATATGAATGAAACTTCTTCCCGAAAGGAAAAGTGGGACCTCCTTGCACTGAGGTTCTTATCAGTTAACTCAATAATTGACCCTTGGGTCTTCGCTATCCTCAGGCCTTCTGTTCTGAGACTAATGCGTTCAGTCCTCTGCTGTCGGACATCCCTAAGAACGCAAGATGCGATGCAAACTTCCTGTTCCACGCAGTCAAATGCCACTAAACAGACTGACCTTTGCAGAAAGTAGTGAAGGCGTGTTTAGTCCTTCAGCATCTGGAAGATCGTTTTTGAAAGGGCTCCTTGGAGAAATGTGAAAAGCTGGTGTGTAAACAAAACGAAGCTGCCCCAATAAAAAGGAATACACAGACACTGACGTGGTGGATCGGCCTACAGACATGCTGACAGGGGTCTTCAGGGAAGGTGTCAGAAGAATTTACGAAACCTTTTCTCAAGGAGCCAGTTACACGGCCTTTGGAAGAGAAAGCAGTGGCCTTTAAGATCCCGTGGCCTTTTGATTTCAGCTTTCCTGTTGAATGACCAAGCATGTGGTTTTGTAATTTGTTTAATCCTCTAAATAGTCATTGCCTTTTCTATTTTAATCTGCCATGCTACTACTGTTCTGAACAAACATTCAGTGTACAGTGAGACCAAAGGAAACTCCCTGTGTATTCTCTAGGAAGTCACCCTGTGGGAGCAGCGAGGCCATTGGAGCTGGACAAGTTGTCGCCTGGGGAGGGCTTCCTGGACCCTCTCCTTGGACTGCGGAGTGGACAGTGGCTGTAGTGTTCAGCTGGGTGGGTGTCCCCTCCCATCACTGCATTGCTCCTGGTGCAGTTGCACACACAGGTGGTTCATGTCAGTTTTGCTCACTTGTCTTTCAGGGGTTATGTGTCAAACACTCAGGTTATTTATTTTGTAAGGTCCATTGTGTTCCCAGAAAGCAAGACTTCAGCACTTCTTCTCTTAAAAGGAAATAAATAGAAAGGTTGCTTAGAGAGTTAATTCTGATTAATACTCTTCATGCTATTTGAGATAATTCTGATTAATCTTCTCTCTATATACATATTTATAGCTATATCTGAAACCCAATGTTAGGGTTAAAAACTGAAAAAGTTGGTTCATTATTCAGCTAAACTGGAACTTGTGTAATGTTGAAATAGGGGCTGTGACTACATACTTTTTAAGATGTCTGCTATAGTGAAATTAATTTGTCCATATTTTTATTTAGAGTACATGGTTTGACTAATATTATATAGAAGTCATGTAACAATGAGTCACAGCTTAACATATTTCAAAATGTTTGGCATGGTGTAAACTCACCATCAAAATATTTCAAGTAAATTTGCACTGTTTAGTCATAGTTACTATGTAAACTCATCCTAAATATAACAAAAAATAAACTGCAAAATAAAAATTTGGAAAAGGAACAGTATTTGAAAGGCTCCAAATGCTTTCTAAGTAGTGTACATGTAGTATCTTTTCAATGATCTAAAATGGGGGAAAACTTTTTTTTGGGAAAAATTATACATTGAATTTGGCAGGATTTGAACATGTGGTTAGAAACCAGAGCTGTGACACATCATGTTAAGCTGCTGCCTATGGCATCAGTGATGCACACAGGTCCTAGTTCATGTCCCAGTTGTTCCACTTTCAGTCCAACTCTCTGTTAATGTGCCTGGGAAGACAACGGAAGATGATCCAGCTGTTTGGGGATCTGAAACCATGTGGCAGACCCAGAAGAAGTTCCTGGATCCTGGTCTGGCACTGACCTGGCTACTGTAGCCATCTGGGGAGTGTACCAGCAGATGGAATATCCCTCTCTCTCTCATTCTCTCTGACTCTACATTTCAAATAAAATTAAGTAAATATTTTTTAAAAGTGTTGTATTATAAATTAGAGTTTTAAGTATTTAATATAGTACTTGGTATTAGAAGATGGTCCTTAAGATAATAAACCTACTTTAAGGTATTACAAGAGAGTTACCATTTTTAAAAAGGGAGAGGAATGATAGATTTTTTTTTATAGTTTCAATGAGTTACTTGCCCCAAACTGCTTCCTATAGTAGCTATTAAAGTAGACAGTCACTTAAAATTATCCCAAACCAATCAAGGTATCATTCTTATTTAATACAATCTATTATTATATGTCAAATTGGCTCATACTCTAAAAAGAGCAAATAATTTGCTTTTCTACAACTTTCAACAAATCAGGTAAAATTTTAACTAACTCTAGGCAGATAAATATATCATCCCTGCTCCTACTGGGCACTCTAACATGAAAAAATTATTTTAAAATGAACACATTAGTCTCATGAGTAATCTCAAAACATAAAATCTAAGGTTTCCATGACTGAAACACTCTGATTACCTTTCTGGATGACTTTCTATTCTCCAAATGAAAATGTTAAATGTAATCCTCACTCCGCATCATTGCCCTCCCCCCAATTCCAAAATAATGGCTGCGAACTAAATAAAGATGAGAGAGCAGACATAATATTACCAGCAAGGATAAAAAGGACTCACTCTAGGGTTGGTGTTGTGGCATAGCTAATGAAGTCACCACCTGTGACACCAGCAACCCATAGGAACACCAGTTCATGCCTGGATGCTCCACTTCCAATCCAACTCCCTATTAATGGTCTGGGAAAGGGAGCAGAGTATGGGACAAGAAGATGAAATAAGTGTTTAGGCCCCGGTGGCCCAGGTGGGAGGTCTGGATGAAGCTCCTTTCTCCTGGTTTTGCCCTGGCCTAACATTGACTGTTGCAGCATCTAGGGAGTGAACCAATACATGAAAGATTTCTTTCTTTCTTCCTTCCTTCCTTCCTTCCTTCCTTCTTCCTTCCTTCCTTCCTTCCTTCCTTCCCTTCCCTTCCCTTCCCTTCCCTTCCCTTCCCTTCCCTTCCCTTCCCTTCCCCCTTCCCTTCCCTTCCCTTCCCTTCCTTCCTTCCTTCCTTCCTTCCTTCCTTCCTTCCTTCCTTCTTTCCTGCCCTTCCCTTCCCTTCCTTTCCTTTCCTTTCCTTCCCCCGTTCCATAACTGACTTACAAATACAACAATCTTTTTTAAAAAATGATTTGCTCTGCGAACCCAAAACAAATGAATTTAACCCATTTATTTAAGAACTGGTAGGTTAATAGAATTTATTTCCTCACACACCCCTGTACCTTATCTTGCACTGTGTTGAATGACTAAATTCTGTTATTTGTACCAATATATACATATAAACATATGAAATTCAAAATCCTATGTGATAGCCAACCACCTATTATTAATAGCAACTTGAAGATAACTCAGGAAAAAGATCACTTAAGTACGTAAATGTTTCCCTTCTTAAAGTCCTATCACATCATCACACCTTTAATTATTCACTCACTTTCCTATTAAAGCAAAGAAACAGAACTTTGATTTATTAAAAAACTTGCTGTGATTTATTCAAGTTGTGATAAAAAGAAGACTTGGATTTTATTCTTTGCATTAATAGTTAATGGGATGGAAAGGAAGAATGCTTGGGAAAGCTTACTGCAGAATGCCAGCCCTAATTTATGGGATGGACTAAGCAATCTCTTCTGAGTTGAGGCCTTCCTAGAAAGTTCTTTGAGGCCCTAGTCATCTTTCCATGAAATTCTGATGATAAATGAGGGCTCTGAGTCGCCAGCAGTCAGGCTCAAGTTTGCTTAGCAGCAATAGAAGTCTCCAGAAGATCTAAATCTCCAAGTGGTTCGCAAGCCACGATGCTGGCCACAGCGAAGAGCACATCAATCCACATCACCGTGTTCTCAGTGCAACCCACGTGGCTATGTTCTCACTTTAACTCAGTTACACCTTTGGCCTCTCATCTCCCTTTCGTCAGTGTACACTGAAAGAAGGATTCTTGTGCGAATACCAAGGCGGCTCTGATTTTAAGACAGAACAACACCTTCAGGCTTAGGGCGTGGTAACACTGGAAGGCAGGTATAGAAAATTCATCCTCACTGAGGCAGAGCTCTGTTTACTCTAGTGGTAGCCAACCCTAAAAGATTTTTGCAACGTGAAGAGAGGCCCTGTTTGAGCCATTCTCAGAGAATGTAGCCCTGTGGAGCAAGGAGTGTTTTGTTCATGTGCACTCGGAATGCCTGCTCTCCCAGGCTACAGGAATGCTGGACGACGCAACGGTTTGCATTTGGTTTGGGCTTATCCCTCTCTGTGTTTCCTGGATTGAAGGCTTGGTTTTCGGTCTCAGCACAGCAATGTTTGGAAAAATGTGAGGTTTTGGCGGGTGGGGCTTAGTGCGAAGTCCTTGGGTCACTTGGTTCATGACCTCAGACAGGAGTAAAGTATTTCTCTTGAAATCCAGAGTTCATTTCCTCCCCAGAACAAGCCCAACCTGTGATTCCTGTTTTGCAATGTGATTTGTTCCTCTTATAGGCTCCTATGCTCCCATGGGAGAGCCTCTCAGGACTGAGCCAGTATAAGACCCCTTAGTCTCAGACTTCCTGTCCCCACAAACCTCTTTTCTTCATAAGTAGTTGGCCCCTGGGATTTTGTTAAAGCAACAAAAATATGGACTAACACATTGCCTATATTCTACTTTTACCAACAGTTAATCCCACTGGATTTCTCTCTGATCATCTGCCAGCACTATAAATTCATTAATTAAATTAATTGCTTTCTTTAATTTACAAAAACATTTGGATTGTCCAAAATGCAGACTATAGGAACAAGTATTTTAACAACTGACAAAAGGCTACAAGGTCTTGTATTTGGCACTATTTTTTTTTTAAACTTCAGAATGTTACTCCTCTTTTTCTGAGAGTTTTAGAGCCTTATTTGCCATAAGTAACTTTCCTTCAATTATACGTTTTTATTTCTTACAAAATGCATGAAAGTATTGTGAGTTTATTTTAGTGGGTTTAATTCTGTGATCAAGGAGTTTCATTTTAAAAATATGTATAGTCAAATACACACATGAGGGTTCCAGTAAAAAGAGATGTCTCACTCAAAGTGTAACTGAGGAATGTTCAATGAAAGGAGCATTTGCAAGGGAGTGGTGACATTTAAGGGACCAATAAGCAACAAGCCTTGGAAGCTGTTGCTAGCACTCCAGACCTGGAGCAATGAAGGAGAAAGGAAGAACCACAGGGATACTAAGTAAGAAAGTACACCTACTGCCAAGCACATGGAGGGACCAGGAAACCAGGAAGATCTACACAACCCCGCTCTCCTGCTGTGCCTTCTGTTTGCCAAACCCAAACATATCAAAGAACATAAAGGGAACCTGAGTAATGCGGACCAGGAAGCAGAGTGGACAGCAGACTTACAGGAAAGAAATGAATACCCAGTGTCAGCAGACTCATATGCTATCATTATACATAACATATCCATGTATATTATACATACATACACATGTGCATTAATTATAACACTGATTGTATCAACACAAAAACTAAAATAGTAAAGTGAGCAGCCTCTTTTCTTGCCTTCTGTTCCAAATAGCTTTCCCTAGCTGACTTAGGGAATAAGAGATTAGCCCCCTCTGTCCAGAAGGGGATCAAATACTCCAGATCCGTTTGCCAGCTTAGCTGCTTGGACATCCTATCCCCACCCCATGCTGGCAGCCCTCACACTGAGCATTTAGAGCTACCCACCTCTAGGGGCAGAGTCCATGACTTCCAGAGGCAAAGGTCAGAGTGGACTACTTCATTGGTCCCACTCATGGTTATTCAGTGTTACAGCTATTCTTAAGCACGAGGGAGGGACGGAGGGAGAGAGAGAGAGAGAGAGAGAGAGAGAGAGAGAGAGAGAGAGCGAGAGAGAGAACACCAGGTATAGTGTTGTAGAAATGAACCAAGGCTTTACTTTTAAGACCCACTGGTAGAAGAAAAATCTAGGAAAACATCAACAGTGTTTAGAGCTTACCATGTACCAGGATAGGTTGAGCAAAGCTACTATGGAGGAAGAGCACAGGTGGCAGAAAAAGCTCCCAAGACCTTCAGCCCATGCTGCCCTTGCTGCTACCACATGTCCCTCTCACCCTCTTCTGGAGCACTTTTCCAACAACTACTGTGCCCTCTTGACCCTCCACAGAGCTCCATCTCTTCTGGCACAGATATCAGATGTTAGGTTTCTTTCAGGGATATTAACTATTGGTCAGTCTGCTGAGCTTTTCTCAGGGGAATTATTTCACCTCTCTCAGTCCTTATCTCTAAAACGAAGCTAGGAAACATTTTCATGCTTCCTTCATTGTTGAGATGGTTAAAATGAATAAATGTGTTCCGGATATCTGCACAGTGTCTGACCCTGGCAAATTCTCATAAAACTCGTGATTAGTATCATTTCAAAAATATTTATTTAGGGCCCAGTGTAGATAGCCTGGTGGTTAAAGTCCTCACCTCTCATATGCCAGGATCTCATATGGGCGTCAGTTTGTATCCTGGCTGCTCCACTTCCCATCCAGCTCCCTGCTTGTGGCCTAGGAAAGCAGCAGAGGATAGCCCAAAGCCTTGGGACACTGTACCTGGGTGGGA